ATATATATATATGCTTAAAATCATTTGCAACACTGACTTCCTGTTTCACTGAAAAGCCACGCCTACTAACTTCCTGTTCCAGACAAATCTTCTCAGTTGATCTGAAACTGTTGGATTTTGTTATCAGAACCTAAGTTCTACAAACTGACTGAACTGAGCCACAGAAAACAGCTGCTGGTTCTGGTTCTGACTGATATGGACCTGCTTTGTCTTCACAGTGTGGTTCTGGTGGACTTCAGGGAGGACAGGGTCTCTGTGAACGTGGTGATGGGTCATGCTGTTAGAGATGTTGAAGTTCTTCAGGAAGCAGACTCGGGGATGGCAGAGCGTCTCCAGTCCTTCTTCCTTCCCCTGATGACCCCTGTCCTGGACCCCGAGGAGCTGAGACTGAGGAGGACCAGGGTCCGCCAGTGGCTTGAGAAAAACCGGCTTCCTGTGGACGAGGACAGGGACAAGCTGAGCGTGGCGGGGGTCCTGACCATCATGGCTCCGTACAGACCTGAGGACTGCTGCAGCTCCAACCAGATCATCCTGGACCGCATCCAAAAACTCATCCAGGTCCATCCAGAGACTGGTCCATGTCCAGCTGAACACAGCACTGGGATCAGTCTGGACCTGGATCAGCACTAATCCATGTTCTGGACAGGTCCACTTCCTCTTCCTGAAGTCATGCTGGTGACATGATTTTGTTCCTTTCAGAATAAAAGCACTGTAACTCTGTGAATCTGATCAGATGTATTATTCTAGTTTTGTACTCTGAGAACCAGAACACAGAGGAGCCCTGTCAGTCTGCAGGTTTGGATCTTTGATTTCCTCCTCAGCTCTGTTGAAACTGTTGGACCTGAGAAGTCCTGAAGTTTCTGGTCTTTAATAAAAGCTTTAATTTTTCATCCCAGTGCAGACATGTACACGTCTATAGACACGTTCACGTCTGCAGAAGACACGTTCACGTCTGCAGAAGACACGTTCATGTCTGCAGAAGACACGTTCACGTCTGACTGAATCAAAGGCTACGTTCACACTGCAGGCAAATCCNTGAGGTTAGTTTAGGGTCATGTAGGTACCTGTCAGGTTAGTTTTAGGGTCAGGTAGGTTCCTGTGAGGTTAGTTTAGGGTCAGGTAGGTACCTGTGAGGTTCGTTTAGGGTCAGGTA